AATGTTTTGATCACTTATAATAGACATAAGCATTCTTTTGAAAGATGTTTATAACAAACATTTACACAATTATCATTGTGTTCAACTTGTATTCCCCCCCCCCTTAAAAGCATTTAAAACAATTAAAAGATTCATTACGGGGTATGAACTCACCTGATGTGGGTGATTCGACGAATACGCGTGTAAGGATGAGAAGTTCCACGAATGAAGTCCCGAGACACAACAAGTCCTAAATGACATATATTGGCATGAATATAGTGTTCATAAGCAACTATATGAAAGGAAACACCTTCCGGGACTAGGAAACACTTTTACCAAGTGTTGGAATCACATGCGATTCATCTAAAGGGTATTTAAGGCCATGGTTTGGTGTTTACGGCCAAGGGAGTTTACGGCCGTAAACTCATGGTCAAACATGCATAAGTGGATGTTTGAAGGCTAGGGAATCTTGAGGGACTTTTGCTCTACACAAGGATGAGAAAGACCAACTCAATGGTGAGTGTTGAGGTGTTTACGGCCAAGGGAGTTTACTCCTGGACGTAAACTCTCTAAATGGTCACATTTAGGGTCTTAAAGGTAAGGAGTCTCAAGGGTTCAAGTGTTCTAAGGTTTAGCAAGGGTCTAGAAGTGTTTAAGGTCCAAAACTTGACCATAATTGGAGTTTACGGCCAAGGGTGTTTACTCTTGGGCCGTAAACTCTCTAAATGATGAGTTTGGTGATGATTCAAGGTCTTACAAAGCACAAGGGAGTGTTCTAGCCTCAAATCCAAGCCTTAGGAAGAGTTTATGGCCAAAATGGCACCTTTATAAGGGTTTACGGCCATGGGAGATGGCTTGGCCGTAAACTCCTTTTGGTCTTGCATTCTTGATGTTTTCAAGGCTCTAAGCATGAGTCTTAACTAGATAACAAGTATAGGGAAGAGTACTTACGATATAGAGGCTTGAAAGGGTCGATTTTGGTCAAGAACACTAGTGTGTGTTCTTGGTGTTCTTGGTGAAACTTGAAGATTTGAAGATCTAGTTGAAATGAATGTTTTCATGGATGAAATCAAAGAGTGTAACTAGGAGATGAAGTGTAACAACAAATCAAGGAAAGAGCACTTACGTTTTTGATGATCTAAGATGATGAACTCGATGATACTTGAGAGGATTTGGAAGTGTTCTTCAGTTGGAAATGAAATAATGAAAGAAAAATGAAGGGATGGAGTCTTATAGGGGAGTTTCCGGCCACGGTTGAGTTTACGGCCGTAAACTCCATTTTTACGGCCGTAAACTCCACATGTTGGAGTTTAGGGCTTTAGTGTTGTACAGTGAAGCTAACAGGTATTTCCTAACACTCACTACTTGAGTGTACTAGGCTCAGAACACTCAAACAGACTCTAAATTGTGTTAAATGATAGCAGGATTGAGTCTGACACTGAGTTGAGTTGACTGACTGAGCTTTCAAAGCAAAAAAATTTCGGGTTGTCACAGTTTCATAATATACATAAAACGAAAAGGTTTTAGAATATATTTAATTATCATCGTACAACGAGTGAAATGGCAAACGGGCAACAAGCTGCGCCACTAAGCCTTTTTGTATGGTAAAACTAATTATTTTGAACACTATATCCATCGATCTAGGGGATATAACATTGCTATGCATGATCCGTTGTACTCTATTAAGAAGCTCCACCGCATCCGACACGAGGAAACCAAACGTATCAAATGCAAATGGTATGAACACGTGTTGATTTTCCATGCACGATTTTTCATGTTTGGTGACTTTGCCTCTGGCAGCTTTAAAACAGTCTGTCCCGCCGTGAAACCCCCAGCCCTGAAGCCCACGAGAGGAGAAACACCTATAAGGTCCACACCGTGTTTCCCTCAAACCCATCCAAAAATCAAAATGTCAGTCGGTCTAAGGGTTGACATTCTGTCGGGTCAGTCAAGAAATTCACAGGTGTGTCTTTCTTGGCGGAAACCACAGAACGCTTAAATATGTCAAACAAAACATCCCTAACCATATCATGCCTGTATTTGAACCCTAGGAGTTCTTTACAGTGAACTACATACTATCCAAAAGAGTCCAAACATGCCTTGCGACACACCGGACATATCTCGTCAGCTGGGAATATTGGAATCATGAGTCGATATTTGAGGATAGTACGATACTCTATAGGAGACATATGTTGGCCAACCCCATCTATAGGGATAGCTAGAAGAAAATCTTGAGCATGTGGTGCACGTAAGCACTGGAAAACCGTTTTATGTCGAGCCATCATGTCGAAATGCATTTCCATATCTTGGACAATTTTACAAAAAAAGAACACTCGCCAGTGTATTCTGGGATTTAGGGGGGGTGTCTTTAGTAGTAAAACTGCTAAGGTCAATATCCGGAAGCTTGTTACGAAGAGAAGCCAAGACACAATCATAATCATAATCCATACCATATATGTCGCTATCCCGTAAGATGTGGTCTTACAATACCCAAGATTGGGCCATTGAGGCAACAAAAGCATATAAGGTAGCCTCTACTGCCGAGTATAAACCCAAACCACCAAACCTAATGGGTAAGGAAGCAATTCGCCACTGTATGTCGCAAAAGAAAGGGCCACCACAAACCACAATATTCTCAATCGCCCCGCGCAACCCATTATCAAAGAATAATGTCGCCTCCTCTATGTGAACGGGTTGGCACGTCCTCAACCCAAAGAAAATTTTAGCAATACCCATACAAGACCGAAGCAGGAGGATCTCACTTTGGGGGTGAGACAATTGTGGAAGAAGACGCATCAAATTCAGAGTGTTTTCAGCTCTCTTTATGGCTAAGCTGCTAATGAAACTAGCATCTCTACTAACAGCTCCCCCAAGAAGTTTCACCCCCCAAAGACGACCTCCCGATGCCAACCGGGAATAGCCCCTCACCTAGCTTCCTACATTATATCTTATATGTTGATGAAATCTCGGAGAGAAAATTAAGCTCATATTATTGATTAAGTCATATGAAGATATGGCTATGATGACATTTAAGATACTTTGCTTATGAGGGAAAATGCTTAGGGAATGGGGTTTCTTGGACCTGTAACAAATGACGAGGAAAACACTGTTCATTGGCAAGACAATACAACAATGACCGGTCACCAGTTAGGCAACAGTGACGATCAACGAGGAGACCGTGATCAACAACGAAAGCACAATTAGGGAGGAGATAAGTGATGCACAATCCGAGCCTTGGCGAGTCACGGCGTTTGTAAGGCGTGACTTAAGGCGACAATCTTCTATATAATTAATATTTTTATATGTATTTTCAACTATTATTCATTTATATATATATATATATATATAGATATATATATATATATATATATATATATATATATATATGAGTTAAGACGGCGTTTAGTGCAAACCTTGGAGCCGTGGCGCGCCATGGCGAAGCCATGACGAGCTTTTTAGAACCTTGCTTCTACCCATTCATCTTCTTCTTTCTCCTTTTTTTCTTTGGAGTTGCTGAAAGAAGACCGACATCGTCGGTAGGCCTGGCAATCATGTCGTGTTCGTGTTGGCAGGTCGCGGGTTGGCGGGTCAAAATATACCAACCAAACACGACCCATTTAACTATACACGTCACGGGTTGGCAAGTCATGGGTTGGCAGGTTTGGAACATAAACCTATATATGACTCGTCAACCCACTTATTTATACAGGTTCACGGGTTGGCGGGTTCGTGGGTCAGATTTGGGTTCGTGTGTTCGTGGGTCAGATTCCACAAATAAAATTGATAATTAAACATGAATAAATTCTTGATGCAAACATATCCGAATTTTAGAAACTTAAGTCTTCAACATCCAAATAAAAATTAAAAACATTCATGGAAACATGTTCAAACTAAAACATTAATACAAACATAGATAAATCAATCGTAGGTGTCGACGTCGTTCGATAATGATTCAATCGTTCATGCCGCCGTTCTTCGTGAGTTCGTTCTGTCGTTCATCACATAGGGGAGACCGAGAGAGGGTTTATTCGATTTTGTTTGTGAGATACTAAGATTATTTAGGGAAAACGCCAAACGTGTTGCAATGCAAATCAACAAATGGTCACCCACTGGTCAAATGGTCAATGACATCAGGGTATCCTATCCTAGTATAAAGTATAAACTGTATAGTGTATAATACTTAATACATTTAAAAAATATATAATTTTTTTATTAAAATTCTAAACAGGTTTGCGGGTCAACCCGTATATTTTTTGAGAAACTCATATATGACCTGTTTAATAAACGGTTGACGGGTTGGCAGGTTGACGGGTTGAAAACTCAACCCAAACCCGTTTATTTTGTGTCATGTCGCGGGTCGTGTCGAGAATTGTCAGGCCTAATCGTTGGAGTCGCCATCACCGGAGAAGAAAGAAGATCCACATCGCCAGAGCCGCTATCGCCAGGAGAAAAAGGAAGAACAAATATACTATTCCGCCTCAATCTCCGTTCGAAACTCTAGCTCCTACTCTATCTTCGTTCGAAATCCGGCGAATCTGAGGTACGTCATGTCGGAGTCTTACCAGAGCTTTAGAAGTTCAACAAAAGGCAATGTTTAAGGAGTTTCTTCCATTCCCCAACTTCCTCTCCCTTCGTCTTCCTCGTTCTCAGCCACTCTCGATGCCGGCGAAACCAAAATCAGACCTTAACCTCTTTCCCTAAATCAGAAAAACGGCACATGAAGCCATTTTTTTGTCCCTTTTAGAGCCTTAAGGGAATCTTTTTCTCGGTAACCCTTTGATTCTTCCTTCCTGATTTTCCCTGATTCTTCCTTCCTTCCTTGCAATCCTTATTCCTTATGCTACCAATCCTTTACAGGTGGGTTTTTTGATGGAGACTGTTGGGGGGGTTTTGTCCAAACGATTTCCGTGGATTTTGTTCAAACGATTTCTGAAACGAATTTCAAAATCGATTTTGTTCTATCTTCAGATTCTAAGTATTTTTGGCATCGGATTTGGAGATTTGTGTTTGGATTTGCGCAAATGATTTTCAAAAAATTGCATCCGGTCGGAGATGCAGGTTTCTGAAATCGCTGACGAAATGTGAGGAAGAGGTTCAGTTTCATTGCAGTGAAGTGAAGGAGACAGGGTTGAGGGTGGGGTGGGTGGGACCATATTTCTTTTTTTCTTAAAAAATTAAAAATAATAATAATAACATTAAGTTAATTGAAAAAAAATACATAAAGGGCATTATGGTCATTTCAAATCTGGAATGGACTAAAATCGCAACAAAACCACATATCAGGGATGAAACTTACAAGTTTTAAACAAATAAGGGACGATCCGAATTAAATTTTGAAAATAAAGACTGAAGATGCTTTTTGGCCTATGTACAAAGGACCATTGGTGTAATTTACTCTATTTTTTATAAACACCACCCCTTAGTTAAAAACTCCCAGCAGAGGAATCCCGTTTTGTTGCATGAAAATCGGGGAAAATATAAAAGAAGGAAAAACGTAGACAATACAAAAACCATGCTAACCGCTCTTTCCTCGCTACTCTTCTTCTCTCTCTCTCTCTTTCTCTTTCTATGTCGCTCGTTCGTTATCATCAGAGAGAGGATTATGATTCTTTCTCTCTGAATCTCTGTGGCGCAAGAATTCATTGGTTCAGAACCTTCACATACCTTAAGGTATCTCCGTTATCATTATTCCAATCGCTAATTTATTATGTCATGATGAATTGTGCATAACCTCCGTCACTATTGACATCGGCAAAGAAATTCTAGGGTTTGATTGCAGTAGCGATAATTCATTTCAGTTTAATAGCTTTTTGCAATTACAAAGCATATTATAATGTAATTTGTGTGTGGCCATTACAATTGGGCAATATAGTATATGATTAGGTTTGAATGTTTTCGGGGCTTATGAAATTATATGTCGAAGGGAACAGTAAAGGTTAAGGCATGTTAGCTTTCTGCTTTCACATATTCTCCATTTTCCAATTTCACGTTGATATTCTAATATATTCTTTTTGGCCTATCTTAATCTTCAGAAATTGTGACAAAAAGATGGCTGAAAATGAAACAAAGAAAAAGGTTATCTTTGCAGTTGGGAATAAGAGAATTATCTTCTCTGATTCTGCGTTTCCCACTTTTGCTGAAGGTAAACAAAACGAAAAAGAAAAAGCCCTTCTTCTGTACAATGTTCTGTATTTATAACATAATTTTTTGACTAGTAATTATATGTAATTGTATTTATAGAACTAGAGTCTTTATATAAAGATGAAGACCATCATGATGATGATGGAAACGAATCTGACCCACCTTCAGCCAAAGCCAGCACTACATTACCGGATTCCAATTCCAACTCTTTCTTTTCATCATCTTCCAAAGCCATCCATTTAGATTCCGATTCCGACAATCAATGGCATGGATTCTTGAAAAAAATTAAAAAAGGGTCAACCTCATTCCATCCTAGCCTGCATTCCATTAAGAGACTAACAAGGAAAAAAAGCAGGAAATTGAGTGAATGCATACCAGACCTACCTCAAATTAACATGGATGCTGAATTGCATTGTTTTGAAGCATCATGGAAAAATTTCTCACTTGAAGATCTGGAATCTGCAACCAACAATTTTAGCCGTGGTTTGTAGCTTCCATTAAAGCCTTTTCTTTTCTTCCTTTTAATCTTATTATTATTTAGTTTATTTATTAATCACTTTCTACGATGTTGTGAAGAATACTTAATTGGAGAGGGAGGGTATTCAGAAGTTTACAAGGGTCATTTAGAAGATGGGCAACTTATAGCAGTGAAAAGACTAACCAGAGGTACACCTGAAGAAATGACGTCAGATTTTTTATCTGAATTGGGAATTCTTGTTCATGTCAATCATCCAAATATTGCTCATATTATTGGCTATGGGATTGAAGGGGGCATGCATCTTGTTCTTCCTTTGTCACATCATGGAAGCTTAGCATCTCTTCTTAGTGGTTAGTTAATTATTAAAGACTTTATTTATTTATTTTAACTGTTACTAATACTGATATTGTTTGTTTATTTCAGGTCATAATAATCAACTGGAATGGGGAGTGAGATTTAATATTGCCATAGGCGCTGCTTCAGGTCTTTCGTATCTTCATGAGGGTTGTCAACGGAGGATTATTCATAGGGATATTAAGGCAGCTAATGTTTTGCTTTCAGAGGATTTTGAACCTAAGGTAATTAAATAAAGTAGGCAGGTTTAGACTTTGCTTTTTGTTAGTTGTGTTCTTATGAAGATTTAAAAAAATTTTAATGATTGCTTATTTTAATGGAATTGTAGATTTCTGATTTTGGGTTGGCAAAATGGCTACCGGATCAATGGATGCACCTCACTGTATCACAACTTGAAGGGACATTCGGGTATGTGAACAAAGGAATGACATGGGTTTTTTTCATTTTATAGGTAGTGTTTGGTATGATGGAATCAGGGTTGGAATGGCATGGTTGATTCCGCTACCAACAAACATGATCATGGAATGCAATCACTCGTTCCATCATCTTACCTTGTCCATTCCATTCCATCCAACCTAAACAGTAATATTTACTTATGCGTCCTTTTCCATATTACAGGTACCTTGCTCCCGAGATTTTCATGAATGGTTTAATTGATGAGAAAACCGACGTGTATGCTTTTGGTGTACTTTTGTTAGAGATTATCACCGGACGCCCTGCTGTCGATGAGTCACAACATAGTCTCGTTATGTGGGTATGTTCCATGTTTCTCATTCACTTACTAATTACTAATATCATTTATTAAAACCAAAACAACAATTTACTAGTTTTAATTAAATAAATTACTTGCAGGCTAAACCATTAATCGCTTCAAAAAACTTTCAAGAACTTCTTGACCCACAACTTTCTGGTGCTTGTGACTTGGACCAGTTAAATTGCATTGTGTCAATTTCTTCCCTATGCATTAATCATATCCCAACCGAACGTCCTAAAATGAGCCAGGTAATTTCCCTCCTTTTGTAAAAAAAAAAAATTTAAATTATAAAGTTAAAACCAAAATATGATGCAGGTTTATAGGATGCTAAATGGCGATGAAGGCATACTTAATAGCAAAAGAAGGTTTTTAAAGAGGACTGCCTTCAGAAGGGGGTCATCCGTGGAGCTATATGCTGAAGATTATGATCCAGAAGACTTATTACAACCAGATGATTTAAATCAACAAAACCAAATCGCATTGGAGCTTTAGAATTTGTCTTTTTTGGATTATATTTACTTAATCCATGCATCCAGATGTTGTTGACTTGAGTTGTGTTTTTTTTCTATTTCTTCCTTTATGGAATAGAATTAGAATATATGCACAAAGCCTCCAACATAAACCAATCACGCATTGGCTCGCGGATTTTAAATCCGCACCTCACTCAAGGTAACATAAAGTTGCATTTTATTTCAACTGATTACCAATTTGCTCATCTGTTTACAAAATGACAAGAGAATTTGCTATAGAAATGACAAGAGAATCACCAAATTATGTACATTTTGATTATTGGTGCTCTTAATGTAATTGTTCCATATTTAAAAATCATGTAGTATAAATCTTTTATTTTCATTGTTATATATTCGATTTCAATTTTTTTTAAACACTATTTGCAATACAAATAGGGAAGAATCACAAATCATGTTACATATAATAAGATAAGAATTTGGTCTTACAATAGTCACGATAAACAGGTTTAAAAAATTTTTTAAAAAAAAAAAACCAAGAAAATAAAACGGAAAAAGTATATAATTAAAAATCAAAATATATTTCTTCTACAACAGACATGAGACATCTATCCTAATATAGTAACATGATTTTAATTGAGTTAACTAATCTTTCCTTTTCTTGAACACTTAAATTTTATATATATAATATTGAAACAAAAAATGACACATTTTTCTGATATTGTTGCTATGAGTTCTGCTGCGAGTACCAGAGTTTCTTCTGACATATCAAAACTTTTTCTTTTTCATTACCATCTTCGGTGGCTTCTACACGACAACTCCATCTCAGCCCCTTTGCTATCTTCGCAACTGCTTCTACAAAATAGCTTGATTCCCTAATTATGGCGTACCCGTTTGGCCTCAAGACCCGATCCATTTCCAACAACACGTATTTCATCTCACACCTGCAATTATTCAATTAATCACTCATCAATTTTAGTAGATTCCCAAAACTCAACCACCATGTTTGTTCGACTCCAAGGTTTAAGGTTTTAGGGTTTTACCTATGGCTTTCAGATGTAAATAGGCTGTCTACATGAAGAAGATCGTATGTTCGAGGATACGTCGAGAATGCCTCACACCTAACGGAAATCAATTCACTTGGTAAGAAAAAATTATGATAATCAAAACATGTATATGATTATTATTGCGTGTTCTTACCAGTCATGGAAAGTTCCGATGAGTCCCCGATCGTAAACCACCGGAAGTGTATTGGGAGCATAAGACGACACCACGTTCATTGACCCAAAGCGGATCATCAATCAAACTGGCGGCAAAACCTCCATATCGCGTGTTCATGTCCATCACGTTCCGTATTTTATCAGTTCCAAGAACCGGAAGCAACGATTTGTAATGCTTCACTCTATTTTTCCATTTTTTATCATCACGATTGAAGTCTCCAGCACTGCTACCACGAACATCACCGATCCGATCCGGAGCCTCGTGCAATCGTTCCGGCCAATTTGAGATCGATCCCAACCCCAATTTCTTCAAATTAGGGTTCGGCACCACCACACACGGCCTCAACGGAGTGTACCAGGCGGAATCGGGTTCAGTCCCGTCGTCGCATTTTGGTGGATAGTTATCGGGAGCATCGAGCTGTTTGTAGCAATCGTTATTGGTGGTTTTCTGCCAAACAGCAATATCGTCTTTTTTGTTGTACAATTTAAAGCACATCGAAGTCAGAAGTTCTTCCAACTTGTCGTAATCGGACTTTTGATCTTCAATCGTCGTGTTCCAACCTCTCCATCGACGCTTGTAGTTTATGGGTGGGCCCGATAGCACCCAAAATCCTCCCGGACGCAAGATCCTGTGTACTTCAAGAAGGTAAATCCCACCTGAAAATCAACCGTTTACATCAGATTATCAGCCAGGGTAAAGATTCAGATTTAAATTATGCTAAAAGGATGAACAATACCGAATTCTGCCCATGGGATGAGGCATCTTGAGCAATGAGCCATGTCGAATGAATTTGATGGGAATGGGAGACGTTGTGTTGATATAATTCCAAGAATTGCCGGAATCCCACGCTCTAACGCGAACTGAACTTGAGCTTCATGGTTATCTCTGGGGGCAAGAGACACCGTTAAAATGCCACGATCAAGCAAGTCGCCTCCCCAGCTAGCCACCTGGAAACCATTTATTTCAAAATTTAAGCTTTACAAAATACAAACACAAAAACTTAACCATGGTTAGAATCCTTGAATCCATATTTCCAAATTGAAAAACAAACTAACCCCACATCCGGTATCAATGGCTGTACGGACAGTTCCATCTTTCATCCCCGGAATAAGATCTTGCATCAAATCAACGTAAGCACTAACACCATTGGGAAACATAGTACCACCACCCGGAAAGTAGAATTTCTCCCCTTCTTTCCTTAACCAATGCTGGTTCGACTTCTGTTTGTTGATCCAGTCATACGGGACATTCCTAAAACATTTAAAATTTTTTTTAAAAAAACCGATATTTTTGTCATAATTTGACAAAAAAGTAAATAAAAGAAAGTTACAAAATTTACCTATACCAACATTCGTCTTTGCTCTTTGGCCATCTGATCGGCTCCTTGTAGCCGTCTGGTGGTGGAATCAAGCATTCTTTCCTATCAAATACTGGCGGACAATGACGTTCCATGAACGTCAGCCTGTGCCGCCCGTATTTCATCCATCTCTGTTAATCAAACAAAACAATCATATCAGTGTCTCTAGGCTAAACACGGTCTTTATATACCAAAGAAAAGCAATCAGATAAATATCACATCAGCTAGACATAGTCTTTAACTGTCTTTATATACCAAAGAAAACTTAAAAAAAAAAAAAAAAAAAGGATTGAAAAATGTCATTTACCTTAGGATCGGTGCAGGGGGTATAATCCTGTAATTCAGGACTGCATTCGGGGAATGAAACTGATTTCACTTGAATCGGACTAGAAACAGTTTGATCAATGGATTCGACTTCTTTACCAATTTGCACACTAGAAATTTTGTTCTTTTCGGAACAAAAGATCCCACCAAGATAAAATGAAAGCCCACATAGAACCACAAATGATATTGCTATAGATACCACTCTTGAACTTTTTTCAGGTTGTCTTCCTGGTTTATCATCTTTATACTTCATTTCTTTTTCTTTTTCTTTTTTCACCACAAATTTATACCTAAAATCTGTACAATAATCAAGTTGTAAATCGTACTAAACAAGTAATAGAAAAAAAAATGAACTTAACTGGAACGAATTACTCAAAAAAGAGTTTTGAGACAAACCCGGTTCAGAAACAGATCTAGATGATTCGTGTACTAAATACTAATAGAAGGTAAAGAACAGAAATCAAAGTCAAAGAAAGAGTAAAAAACAGAGGTGGAAGTAAGTGCAGATCTGATGGCACAAGATGTGGAAAAACAAGAAAAGTTTGTCAAGATCCGGTGGATTCCATACGTTGTTGCCGACAACGCTAATTGGCCCCTTTCCATGTCGGATTCACTTTAATTAAAAAAAGTCATCCGAAATTTTGGTCCAATTTCATGATTTTTGTTTTGGGGGGCCTATGATTATGCCTACTGACTGAGAGAAAGAGAGAATGAATACTACGTGTGTTTTCTTTTTTTTCTTTTACTTTTTTTTACAGTAAACCAACGAAAAGTTAACAAAGATTCTTTTATCACTATAACAAACACCCAATCAATAGCTTTTTTTGTTGTTGTGAACACTTGATGAGTAAAGATGAATTGGCGAATAATTCCAAAGAAAACCCACTCCGAATTTTTCTTTCTTTTTCATAAAGAACGATTCATACTATTTTCAGAAAGGTCACAAGAATCGAGGCAATTAAAGACGAGAATGGCCAGAACCAATCTCCCCAAATCAGATCTGCAACACGAAATCACACAGAAAACCCATTTGGGTGCAAAAAAGATTCATGTTTCTGAAGAAAGATTCAATCATTCAAATAACGAAGGACTGAAGAACATAGGAGTTGATGAAATCTGACGTATTACCTGTAATTTATTCCGAGATTTATGAAACCCACACGAAGACACGGATCCTGTAAAAGAAACCCAAAACGAAGAGCTTAGAGAGAGATAGAGAGACTGTCTCTCTCTGTGTGTGAAGAGATGAAAGGGTGAGTCGAGGGGATATCTATAACCTCACACACACACATACATGTAACCCCACATGCATAGATATACATAGATATATTATATATGTGATGAACTACATACACTGTTTGTACGCTTTCTGACTCCTGTCTTTTGTATTTGTATGTATGTTCTCACTTTTGTTTGGGTGGTAAAATGGTAAATACATATATGTAAAATCTAAAGTGGTTTCGCTTTTAAACTAAAATGTTTATTAAATTCATAAATTTGAATATTTGATCTTTGAGATAAGCTTAATCTCCTAATTTAAAATTTATAAATTTGAATATTTGATATTTGAGATAAGCTTAATCTCATGATTTTAAATTTATAAATTTGAATATTAGATATTTGAGATAAGCTTAAACTCCTTATTTGAAAGATATAAAGGTCAATCAACCGATTACTATTAAACTTCTAAGATTTAGTTGATAAGTGCCAAATAGGAAAATAAGTATTAAAAAAAACAAAACAAATATAGCCATTTTTTATAAAACTTTTCACAAAATAGCATAAAGTTTTTCAATTTTCATAACATTACCAACAATATCACAATGGCCATGCAAAATCACTTAGAGGCTATGAAACTGGTCTTATGTTTAAGGCAGACTTTTTCTCATTTTTACATCAAACTTCTTTTTAGAAAATATTTTTCAACCTAGAAAATATTTTTCGACCTAACACTTTATTTTTGCACCATTTGTTTTTGTTGTTGTGAAAATGATTTTTTTTTTAAATCCCCATGAAAAAAATCAAAATCAATTTATAAAGAATATTATTTTCGCCATAATATGAACGCTTTTGCATTAATACAGAGCAATTTCATGGCATAGAAAAGAAAAAATTCCGCAGTATAATAAAAAACAAAAACTTAGTTTTTTAATATTCTTTTGGTGGGAGCATAACGAAGTTTTTACTTTCTAAAATACTTTTGGTGGGAACCTAACAAAAAGTTGTAGCAATTATTAATTTCACAACAGGCTTACTGGCTTATTGCGAAATTAACAGTAATTTGTGGAAAAAAGAATTCATAAAAAATCTTATATATTTTGTTGAAATCTCTTTCCCAATACGGCTATTTTGTATCTATCTAAAATAAAAGAAATCGATTTCAATTTATATTTATTGGATTACAAGACCCACCAAATAACTAAAACATAAAATTCAAGGAAAAATGTTGAAATACTCGTACCAACTGTGTTCATGTTTCCATTTTCATCAAGATTTTCTTTTGTTGAGTTTCTTAAAACAAAACATTTTTTTTTTTCTTTATAACCACTTAGGGTGGAGGGTATGGTCACCTTCACCCTTAACATCATATCATTTTGTTTTCACTCTTTAAAATCCAGAAAATGACTCTTCAAAGCCCAGAAAATGACCATCTTTTTACTTCATCTCATTCTTTTCCACAATAAAATTATTCTAATTTACAAACTAAATGTTAATTAATAACTTAAATTAAATAAAAAAAAATAGTTAGTAAACACAAAACTAATAAAATTCATAATTATTCATTACTTCAAAAGAGAAAAATATGTAACTGAAATAAAACAAAACCACAAATTAAAAAAAAAAAAAGCATAAAACAAACTACAACATCAAATCTAGTGGAAATATTTTTCATGATCTCTTCATTCATCCTCAAAACCATCTGAAGAGGGTTGGTCCGCCAAGATGTCTTCGGGTGAGGGTGTTGAGTTTCCCGAACTACGTCATCATTCAACGAGGTTTTGGGTTGGAAGGTCGTAGGATGGGGTTTGGCTTTGTGGCGCAAGTTGGAGTTAGGTTGGTGAAAGTTGATCGGGAAAAAGTTACGAAGTTGTTGATCATATTAGGGGTAATTAATATTTGGCCATTGCATGAGATAGCATTGTTGAACATTTTGACATTAAAGTTGTAAAGGAGATTGAATAGGCGCATCAAGTTGGGGACGATAAACCGGAATTGACAGATTGAAAGTGAAAATGTTTCTAATTGGTGTGGTTGAACTAGAAACACGAGATTTTCTTCGACCGGAATTTGGTGTGGGGTAGTTGGGATTCCTTTTTTGTTGTAAAAATGATCGAAAAAAAGAGAAAAAAATGATGTAAGTTTGATGATTAAAAACTTAAAATAGGTAGGTATTTATAGAGTTGTAAATTGGTAATATATATTACCTCGAGCGGCGAACCACTGCACCTAAACCACATCCAGGATGTGGTGTTTTATGTTAGATATGAAGACTTATCATCTGATCTGGAATTTTAAAGACTGAAATTTTTGGTGGCCCAATTTTTCTAGGGCTTATTTTTGTTTTTTAGTCGGGTTTGGTCCTTTAGATGTTTAGGTCAAATTTTGTCGTTTATATACTTATGAACGACCGTATTTGTAACATTGTATTAGAAAAAATGTGTGTGGAATAAAATATTTCTCTCTCTCTCTCTCTCTAGTTCTATAGTGGATGTAGCCTATCGTAAGATAGTGTGAACCACTTAAATCCCTGTGTTATGTGTGCTTTGATTTCGTTTATGATTTCACGTATTTCTCATATATGTTTTCGTTTATTGTTGTTTTTTTACCTAACAACTGGTATCAGAGCTATGACTGAAGACATGAAGGTGAAGATCAATAAATTTGAAGGCCATGATTTTGGATTCTGGAATATGCAGATTGAGGATTACTTATATCATAAGAAATTACATTTATCGTTATCTAAACAGAAACCTGATAAGAAGGATCTGGCAGAATGGAACTTGCTGGACCGACATGCCCTTGGCGTTGTCAGATTATCATTGGCAAAGAATGTTGTGTACAACATCATTAATGAGAAGTCACGTTTGGATTAATAAAGGCGATGCACAACATGTATGTGTAACATCCCAAAAATCATGACCAAAAATTTCATTTTTAATTAATAAATAAAACCATAGTTATCAAACTCATCCCATCAAAACATAAGTAATAGTATCTCATATCAAAATATCTGTCAAATATATCAGAGTAAACATCCTAGGCTAAAACATCATGGTCTGTGCAATGCAGTCATCCCGAGCTCTTCCCTTTGCTACCGGAAGTACCTGAAACCAAAACTGAAAACTGTAAGCACGAAGCTTAGTGAGTCTCACCAAATTACCACATACCATACACATAAGCACATAATCACATATAAACATATCTAGCCCCCCCCCCCCTTCATCGGGCCCCGCCCGACATCGGACCGAAATCCGGCATCGGGCCCCGCCCGGCATCGAGAAAAGCTCGGTATACATATAAACATATCAACAAATACACATAAATAATCACATAACATAAACATATAAACATTCATCGGGCCTCGCCCGACATCGGACCGAAATCCGGAAGCATACAAACATTCATCGGGCGTTGCCCGACATCGGACCGTAATCCGGAAACATATAACACAGACACATGCAAGAATCATAAAGACATCAAGCATACAAACATTCCTTGGGCACCGCCCGACATCGGATAGAAATCCAGAAACATATCAACCTACGTCGGGTACTGCTCGACATCAGACCTTAGTACGGAACATACTAACATAACTATACGGGCCGGCATTGGTGCCTTCGACTCGTTCATACAGAAGGAAAACTCACCTCGAAAATCTGAATGTCGAATCTCACGGTACGAAATCTCTAGCGGCTGCTCTAACGACTCCCCGGGCTATCAGTGCAAAATAACACTTAGTCAAAATCCAATAATCCTTCTTAGGGTAAAATGACCAATTTACCCCTGATCGAATCTGGTCCATGACTTAGGCCCAAATCTATATCATGACAGGCCCAATTTTAGATAGTCCTTCCAAGCCCATTAATGGCCCACCAATGGCCCAATTTTCTAAATTGGGCCCAACTCCTCAAATGGGTCTTCCCTTAAGCCCAAACATAACTTTGGCCCAACAATCTGATTTTCGATGGCCCACTATGGCCCAAACTAGCAAAGTCCATGAAATGGCCCAACCCGAGGCCCAAATGATGAAAAACCCAAATCCAGTGAGTACGCGGGGCATACTCCTCTGTACGCTAAGCGTACGGGCTGCATGGCTTGTACGCTGTGTGTACTGGCTTGTACGCCCATCGTACAACCCTATTAAGCCATAATCTCCAAACAGGCTTAATCCCTTAAGACCTTAAGCTCTAAACACAAATCTGAGTCCAATAAGGTGTCTTAACCAATAAAGTCGATTACTTGGTGGCTTGCAAACCCCCAAATGGACCCCAAACTTGAAATATGGCAACCTACTTCCATAGAAATGACTAATACTCATGCATTGCCACATTAAGACCTTCATGTTGGTAATTTTTCTGTCTTTGGGACTCAAATAGCACTAAGGGTGGCAACCCTAAGCCTAAAAACGGATTTGGAATCATAAAGTTCCATTCGTGGGGACCAAAAATGTCCAAAACTCCATTACAAGAGATCTAAGCATTCATGAGGCAAGTTTTGAGCTTTTTACCTCAAATGAGTGCTAAATGATGATGATGTCTCAGATCCTTAAGCTCAAGCTACACAAGTTCTTCTTCCCCAACTTCTTCTTTCTCCTTCCAAGCTCCAAGCCACTAAAATGGACTTCACAAGATCAAAATCACACAAAGATAAAGAAGGTTAGGTTTCTAGGGTTTCTGAGTCACGGTGGCTGGTAAGGAGGTTAGGGTTTGGGACATAATGAGGTATTTATATGGCCTAAACCCTAAAAATTAGGGTTTTGAGTCTGCTTGCGTACGCTGGCGTACCCCTTGGTACGTTGACTGTAACATCCGGATTCCAGGTATGTTATTTTGAATTATTTATTTTTGAGGATCATTGATCTACTCGACGAGTTTGTGCTATAACTCGTCGAGTAGAAGCGGGGTAGCCACGTGAGTTTAATGAAACTACTCGACGAGTCCAAGAGTAGACTCGCCGAGTAGGCGCTGTAAGTGGAAACCCTAAATCTTCGGGCATGAGCCCTATTTAAAGGCACTTATGGCCTTCATTTGCGGCTACCATCCCAGAGAGAGAACCCCCATCGATCTTGAGTGTGTAGAGTGAGAGAGAGAAGGCCATTTAAGCTTTTGGTGTGATTTTGCAAGAAAGGA